AACCAGACTTGTATTTTCTTGTATTTTCATCCCAATTGTTATCACTAAGTTTTTGGTTAGTTTAGAGGGCTTTAATATTGACAGGGTCTTTGTCACCGGCGCCATCATAAATTATTAGGACCCCCACATGCAGCCAACATCACAAAGAAAAGCTCTTTCCTTAGTGATCATTGCTTTCTTTGCGTGGGGAGCCTTGGGGACTGGCTTGAATTCTTCCTTCGTCCTTTTCTCATCAGACTACTTTTAATATTCACTAAACACCAAAAGAAACCGACTCTCCACGAAACCCCATAGCATATATAAGTCAACTCCGTACAGATTGTGTGCAATAAGGGAGTTTACAGATAGCACATGGTACAAATGACCCCAAATATCCACAGATCTTGTACACATGGAGAAGTCCCACTTTGAGCACACCCCATTCACAGTGGCCTCAAACACCGCGACAGCAGCGGGACTGTCCCGCTGCTGTCGCGGTGTTGTCTTCAGTGTGAAGGCTCGGACCCGTTATAAACTATCGCGGGATAACACCGCCTCGCGATAACGCCGCGACAAACTATCGCTAGGCTCGCCTAGCTACAGCAGCGGGACAGTCCCGCTGCTGTCGCGGTGTTTACTCAGTGTGAAGGCTCTCCGCTATAACACCGCGACAAACACGTGTGATTTGTTTACTTACCTATCACTGACCTCTTTTCTCCAGCAATGGGGAACATAAAGTGAAATAGAAATAAAGTAACCAGTGGATTCAAATTGATTTTATTATTATGTAGATTTATAATTATCCAAATAAAAATATTTCACACTTCAAAAAATTAAAATATTCTGACTGGAAGCAATAAAAATGCTAGTTTTTTAAAAATTAATATGATCGAGGATACAAAAAGCAACTTGACATGTTTACCCTAAAACCCCGCGCTGAAGTATTTCCGGTCATATCGGGGTCACTCGCGGGTCATGAGCCATGCATACACGTGTTTGTTACGGAGGTAATAAAAATCACCCGCTGCAGCGTGAATGGGTACATGATATTTATCCCGCTGCTGCAGCGGGATAACTTTTCTACTGTGAATGCATTTGTAGCGGTGTTATGGCGGTGTCGCCGCTCCGCTACAACACCGCTACAAATTTCAAAACCACTGTGAATGGGGTATTAGAATAATAACTGCCAAAGTCCTAGATGTGCTTCATGAATACCTTTTGTTTGACCTCTTGAAAAGAATATTTCCACCTGCGTATCATAGAATGTACCGTTGGTGCATAAATGAATAATGTTACATAACTTCCATGAGCGCATATCCAGTATTCATCTCTGTGGGTTTTACCATTTTGGTACAAATGACCTTCATCTGCCCATGCGCAGATTGTATCTGTGAACTGGCTTATTGAAAAAATTGTGTTTTAAAGTAGGTGTAAGGTTTTAATTTTACTGAGCCGGATGGTTACTTGTTTAGTTTACTCTAGCTTTCCACTCCGTTATGCTTCAGCGCACTTCTGACCTACATTCATTCTCTCATGTCTGCTAGCTCTTGGCTTCTATCGTTCTGTCCCTATTCATTCATCCGCATATGCACATTACCTGCCATAGCACCACACACACACACACACACACTCGTTTTAAGTCTTAGCTATTCAACCCAGCACACTGTAGGCACATGGCACTCTATCTTTTACAAGCTTTTCTATTGGTTACTTATATTGTCCAATCATGTGATTGGTTATTATTGTTATTATTGTTTGATGGATGTCAGCCATCTTGGCAGCCATTTTGTGGTTGTAATAAAATCTAACAGTGCAGCTCAAGTCATCAAACATGTAAGACTACTTTTGTCTTGTGTGGGTCCTTACAACTGGTGGCAGCGGTGGGATGGCTGATTTTGGGGTTGGTCAGCGGATGAGGATGGCTGAGGTTGAGGCTGGTCAGCGGATGAGGATGGCTTAGGTTACTCAGCTGATGAGGATGACTGTGTCGTGGTCCTCTCAGTCCCATGTATTGACGTAGGCTGTGTGGTTGGTGGGGATGGTGGAGTCGACATCACTCGTGGGGCTCTGGCTCGATGCGGTTTCAAACGATTATGATGGACACGTCGCTTGATCCTATCATCATGGACGTCAACTATGTCATAATTTAGTCCATCATCTGATGAGGAAGATACTTTAAAAGGACCCTTCCAGTTTGGTTCGAGTTTGTTCCTGATGTTGGTTGGGTCATGTAACCAGACAAAATCACCTGTGTTGTACTTGGAAATGCGTTTCTTCACATCGTATCCTCGTTTGTGTTGTTGTTGTTGCTGTCGTGTATTCTGTGTGGTGTACTCCCATGCTTTTCTCAATCGCTCAGACAGGTTGGTTGTGTATTTGAGTAGTGTCTTGCCAGATGACGATGGAGGGGGAGTTGAACTGGTGATGTTTGCAGGTGTACGGGTAGTAAATGGCGTCAAACCTGTTGAGGCATGAATACTCGTGTTGTACGCCAATTGGACTTGATTGATGTGAGTGTCCCATTCTCCTCCTTGATGACAAATGTACTTCGCAAGTTGATCTTTGATGGTGCGATTACATCGTTCTACTAGGCAAGCTCCTTGGGGATGATAGGATGTCGATCTAGACTTGTTGGTGCCCAATTTGCTGCATAGTTCTTGCACTAATCTCGACTCGAACTGTCGACCTTGGTCCGTATGCAAAGTCTCTGGAATACCATGTTCTCTCACATATTCTTCAAACAGATGTTTGGCGATGGTTGGAGCAGTCTGATCTTTCATTGGGAAGATATTGACAAATTTTGCTGAAATGATCGGTCACAACGAGTATGTAGCGAAATCCTCGTCTTGTAATTGGAAGCTCAGCAATGTCGGCAAAGACCATCTCCAAAGGGCGAGTAGTGGAAATAGGACGTAAAGGTGCTTGATGCTTAGGGGTGGGTAACCGGAAGGACTCACAAGCTGTGCATGTGTTGCAGAAATCAGTGATTTCCTTGTCCATGAAGGGCCAATAGCACATTGACTCTGCTGTGCGATGAGCGCCGAAATGTCCGGAAGATGGGTCACCGTGTAACTCTTGGAGTACCCTTGGAATGAGTGAGTTTGGTACCACAAGTTGAAATGAGAGATTACCAAGCTTGTCTTTCTTCATCCTGTAGAGTATACCGTCTTGGAGGATGAATTTGGGATACTGCCGCAGGAGACGTCTAACCCGGGGGTTGTGTCTACGGATCTGTCGAATGGTTGGCCGCTTACCATTGCTGACGCATTCGATGACTGTACTGATGTCTTGATCTAGTTATACTGTTCATGTTGAACATCTACATCACTTTCAAGGATTACACCATGCACGACAAGGGTGAAGGACGTTTGGTGCAGACTGCCTCGTTGAATCATTGGGAGTAGATGTGTTTGTTGATGGTTGTGATCTTGATGAACGAGTCTCGAGTGCATTACACAGTGGATTGGTCACCATGTGCTTGAGTAGCTGATCCGTCAATCTTGGAGTGACTTGGCTCTCTTGACTCGGGCGTCTAGATAATGCATCTGCATTTCTGTGTGATTGTCCTTTCTTGTGAATAAGGCTGAACTTGTAGGAGTTGTGTTCCAATATCAATCGTGTTCTCTTCTCTTACTTTGATCAGGTATTTTGAGCAAATTTGTATGTATCTCATTTTCTTAGGAATCGAATGCATGTTAATAAGTGGTTCATACAAAGTATCTCTTAAAATGAAGACATTTTTCTGTGAAGATGGAATATTATGTAAGGTTTTAATTTTACTGAGCCGGATGGTTATTTGTTTAGTTTACTTTAGCTTTCCACTCCGTTATGCTTCAGCGCACTTCTGACCTACATTCATTCTCTCATGTCTGCTAGCTCTTGGCTTCTATTGTTCTGTCCCTATTCGTTCATTTTCATGCACATTACCTGCCATAGCACCACATACACACACACACACACACACACACTCTTCATGAGTCTTAGCTATTCAACCCAGCACACTGTAGGCACATGACACTCTATCTTTTACAAGCTTTTCTATTGGTTACTTACTCATGTCTAATCTTGTGATTGGTTATTATTGTTTGATGGACTGGATGTCAGCCATATTGGGAGCCATTTTGGGGTTGTAATAAAATCTAACAGTGCAGCTCAAGTCATCAAACATGTAAGACTACTTTTGTCTTGAGTGGGTCCTTACAGTAGGTGATATTCACACACACAATTCTGACTTAGTAAAACAAATCGATCGTTACCAAATGTTATAAGGGAAGGTCCACCCTGATATCAAGTTGATAAAAGCAGAAAAATAAGAGAAACAAATTAGTGAACTTTGAGCAATATCCGATTAAAAATAGGAAAGTTATGAATTTTTGAGGTTGTCATTTATGAGTGAAAGACAAATTGGCAATTTTATTTGCAATAATTAAATTTAGGGTGAATGTTTACTCATTTTTTAAATTTTTTTTTTAGTACAGGGAAAATGGGAGGGGACCTCGCGAGATACTTCACATAGTTGCCAATGTGTGTTTGATTGATCGCACCTTCAAAAATGTCTAACCTTCTTGTTTTTAATCGTTTTTTCTCAAAATGTTGCTGACCTGTTCCTCTCATTTCTGCTTATATTAAAACCATTTTAATATCTGGTTATACTTTAGCGCTACGGAGATGATAACTTCTGTATCCATTGCGACAACGAGCTTTGTCATTCCATTGATCAAATGCAGATGCCTTTAATTAGCTACACAATGAAATTAATAGCATATTAATGTCTTGTTTCCTTTTACAAAAGGTTACAAGATTACATATTTAGTCAACAAAAGCTAGTTAGAAATACTGCGCCCGACATTTCTCTCTCTTTCTCTCTCTCTCTCTTTCTATCTTTTTTTGTCTGTCTATCTGTCTGTCTGTCTCTCTCTCTTTCTCTATCTATCATTCTCCCTCTTATTACTTAGTACACATACACATACACACACTCACTTTCAGCCATTTAAAAGAACTGCACAATGTTATAAAAAGTCAAAAGGTAGAACTAACTTTATTTTCTTTTTCCAAATGTTAATTCACAGAAGGGTACACGAAATTGAAACGTGATCGTTGTTGCTCGTGTTAATAATGAAATTATTCAACTCTACTTGATGACGTCATTATCTTCTGTAATGGAAAGACTTGTTTGTCACTGATACATACATTTGAACTGTATATGAATATAGTCATATACTATGAATTTCAATTCCTTTCATATGAGATCAATCAATATCTTTCAAGAGTTCGTATGAATGAGAACGGTGTGAAGAAGTGCGTGAATGACGAAGGATGTTAGGGGTACTGGTGTAACGAGGTAGATGAAGGATTATAGAAAAGGGCTATCGAGCGATGGGGTGGGGGTGCATAATATACGGGAGTGGATTGTAATTATATCGTATACCTATTGGCAAATCCACAACTGCAATCGATAAATTTGACAGCTTTTGTTAGCTTATTAGGCATTTTCAGAAAACTGTCGACGAATTCCAATGACGGGTCCTTTATTTCTTCCAACTCGGGAGGGGGGGGGGGGGGCTGGCTCTTATTAAATTTGTTTTTTCCTGCTTGTACATGTCATTAATTAATCCAACATATTATTGGTCTAAATGCCTTTTAATCAAGTGTTCAAATTATTTGTTAGTCAAAAGTAATTGCACAACTTCATCCAGAGAACAATTATATAGGAAATCTAATTGGACTACATGGATTTTTTTTTTCAAACACCACAAATAATGGAAAAAAAGACTCCTGGTAAAGCCACAGCGTAAGTGATTTAAAATTGAGTAACCGGTCTCTTTTTAATCCATGCAGCGATCTTGGGTTCAGCCCTCATGCGGTCAGAGAAATCCTTCAAAGCTGGATACATGGCTGCTAGGGGTGGCATGCTTCCGAAAATGGCCTCCGTCATGTGGAAGACCGCGATATCAGCCAAGGTCATCTGGATCGAGATATAAATCCGGTAGAAGTGAGAACGATTGAAGAGAAATCCAACCTTAAATTTACTAGGTAATATATTGCCTCAGGTTCTGAAACAAAATCCTGGATTTAGCTCATGCTGCAATCATAATTATAAACCTTTAGGTCAGTCAGGAATCCCATGACTTTTACAAGCCGATCGCCTGTTTGATTATCTGATTATCAAGATATTTATGATTGGAAATCGAAATTTCATTTTTCGTTTTCCTAACGGTTTTCTAACACTACAGTCTATTGGAGAAAATTAGTATGGTACAACCGGTCACTCCAAGATTTTTTACTTTTTTGAGGCACTTATGATCATTTTGAAGCGCAAGTGTTTAGGGTTTCAATATTACATTATATTACAGACACTGATAGCACATAGGGCCATGCATTTCAGATTTAACATTGACGATTGAGTTCTGGGAGAGGTGAAAGCTAAACAAAAATGTGTCTGCTTTTTTTCATTCTTTATATGATTGTTATAATGGAAGTGTATATTATAAAACGGGTACACTGAAAAGGATGCCTCCATATTCAAAATATGACAATTAATAGCTTAAGGTTGTAGACCTGCACAACTTTCATGTCACATATATTTTGTGTAGCCCTATACAGTATACACATTTCTGTGTACAGGACATATCTTTGACTGCTATGAGAGGCATCGCTGTTTCTATTGGCTCAAGGGGACCTTGCATCCTGATATGACCCCGAGGCGCGTCGGGCTGCCCCGAGAGACAGTACAGAACCAGCTATGCTTCGAATATTAAAGCAGTCGATATATCATTTATAAACCGAACTCTTACCTTATCCATTTCTTGAGTAAAGACTGGTTAAAACATGACAGAAACTCTGAGACACTGTCTGTAAATCTTCGCTGGAAAGTTGCCTGAATATTACGATCATTCGGGAATCGCAGACAAAAAGCATTGTATGGTATCCGCGCTCGCCAAAAGAAACGTTTTACACGTTAACCATTGGGGGCAACGGGTATCTTAAAAAAACACTATTGACCGGTAAGCTGGAATGGCGAAAATCACGACTCCAATTTTGACCAATCAGATGACTAGATTTATTCAACATACTAAAGAGAGGTAAATAATGTCATTTATCACTATTACTAGACATGATGAAAGAGTGAGGACTACTGAACCAACCTTGTCGCCGACGAAGAAGCCCTTTCCACCACTGTTCTTCTTCAGAGCATTGCACATAGCAGTCAAGACGGTTTTAGAGTCCTTCTCAACAAAACTCTTTCCTAGCTCTTTCTGAATATTGATAAAATGATGGAAATATAAACGTTATTAAAAAGCATGATTATTCGATCATTACTCTGCGTGAATACAGGGTATGACACTTATTTTCTTACTTCAATTTCTTTCTCTACTCAAGAACAAAAACAATGGCAAAAAAAAAATCACATCCACTTCTAACTTGTTTCTTCGGTAAGTAGAAATAGATACATGAATAACTAAATATTATTACTTGTATTGCAAGACTCACGAATATTGATATTTTTATTTGTTTAATAATTTTTTTACATCGGCATATCTTTATTAAAAGACCCGTTTCTAGAAAAGAGTTTATCAATTAGAATGGTACGTTTACTTTTCGTTTACTCCATTTGTAATAATATTTTGATATTTATTTTTAAAAGAGCCTATAGGGCTTAACATCCTCCATAGAAGAGAGTTTTTTTATTTTCTTATTTTCTAAATTAGTCATTTTTTCGCTCTTTAAAATGGAAACGGTTAATATTTTTTCCACTCCTTCATAGTTTTTAAAAATCAATTTAGGAAATTGTTTATCCGATGTGAAAGAAAATTTGCAAATTGGTAAACGAAAATTTTGATTATATATTCCACACCGCGTTACCAATTTAGAGATGATTCGTTACAATAAAATCGCTCTTATTCGAGAACGGCACAATCTACTACATTGGATTTGGAAGAAGAAAACTATTGTTGTGATTTTCGCTCTTTCTGATCACGTATAAAGTGTAATTACTAGCATTCTGGACCAAAAAATAATGCAAAAACGTCACTAAAAGTTGGTTAACCTCACTGTACCCGCTACGCCTGTATCTTCTTTCTATTTTAAAATTCCTAGGCATCAAAGGAACTAGTTTTGTTTGAACAATCATAACTTCAGATTATATCAAACCACTTCCGAAAGTCCTATGAGTCGAAGGGAATATTTACACATGATATCACTTTGTCGCCGTGATTCAGGTGAACTTCACATTGTTTTCCTCTCTTAAAATTGTCTTCATAACCTGGGCCTCGTATTATCAAGAGTTGAGATTGATTCAAATCAATCGCAAGTTTTCAGTCTCCTATCTCGTATGTACATCGTTATGATTAATCGCAACTGTCTATAAGTTGATGCCCAGTTGTCCAATAATATTTGTTCCCTGTTAGAATTATTGGCGAGATCTGAAAAGAATGGATAGATCTGTGAAATTTCTTCCGAGCAGAGAGATGCCATTCTCCATCGAAAGACTAGTGTTTGCACATACATATTTCACAATTATTGTCAAGTTTTCCGAGGTACCCCATATTATGTAGGCCTTTCTCAAAAGAAACGAAGCACGAAACGTAACTTCATGTGAAGTTCTGGCCCGCCTGGTCGAGGTATTTACAAACTCCTTCAATATATATTTGGGACCCTTGTCTCACGAACTTCGTTCGAAAAAACTGCTCATAAAAGAATCTTTACAACATTTTCAAAGTGACATCTGTCAAAGCACGATTGCACACACGGTGTCCTTTTGATTGCGTGCCACTGCTCAAGTCTGTAAAGGAAATATCCCATACGTCAGTACTTTAAAGTGATGTTTGCAATGTTCATTTTGCATTCATATACCTTGTACATGTCTCTTTCACATGGCCCTTCAAAAACCGCGCCACTCGCTGACGTAGTCCTACGTCAAGCCAGTGGGGGACCCAGGGGGGGGGGGGGGGAGTGGGCCTCCCCTTGGGAAAAACGTGTAAAAACATGTTAATTTTACCTTTTTGGAGATGGGCCCCCTCCCGTGGCGCTCAAGGGGGGGGGGGGGGGGGATGCGATTTTTCAAATTTTCGAGGGCCAAATAAATATTTCGCCGCTAAATATTTTCTCACGAATTGGGCCTCCTCTCCTGCCGCCGGTTGGATCCACCCCTGCGTCAAGCAACTGACGCCTCGTGTTCAACAGACAGTATAGGCGTCTTAACTCGTTGACTTCTGAATTTATTAATTGCCAATAGGCTTTATACATGGGCATCCGGTTCCAGTAGGCAATGGGTTAACATATTTGCAAAGTTAATAAAGTACCGAAGCTGTGACGTCATAAAAATCTATTTTTAAAATTTCTCAATTTTTTTCTTCATTTTCCGAAAGAGCATCAAAAAATAATGTCCGAAAGCCACTGTATTGGCTGAGATATGACCATCTGAATAAAAAGATTTCCCATAGGAAGTCAGTGCTATTTGCTCTGGCTCCTAACCATTAGGAGCCAGAGCAAAATGAAGAAAAAATTGAGAAATTCTAAAAATAGATTTTTGATGACGTCACACTTTACCACTCTATATTAACAATGTGATTGTGAGCACTTACCTTCTTTGCATCGTCTTTCTCGAAGAACATCTTCACGATATGAGTAAAGATTTCTACGACGCATTCACACGCGACATCAATACGTGTAGCTTCTTCTATGTTCTTGCCGTACATGTCTGAAAGATCAATGATCAGATTATTATTCGGCAGTCATGAAGACACCCGTTATTGGAGGACAATCGATGTCCTCCATAAGCGAGATAATTTCCAAGAATAAGTATTGTATTATTCGAGTAATTCTATCAGCAATTGTCTCTCTAGACCCAGTTGCGGTAAATCATAATGAAACTTAAAAATTCAACTTTCATTCATTTTTAAACAGGATATGAACATATTATGATATTAAATTTGATAGGTTTTAGCCAATCGTGGGCTTCGAAGTTGAAGAGAACTTTGGTTCTGGGAAATCTTCAAATATAATTTGTGAGCTTTTTCATTCTTTTTAATGTTATTGCGAAATAGTATCATAGTAAAAATGTCCCTGTAAGGGATGGCTCTTCAAATGCCCTAATGTTCCAAAAAAAAAATGCCCTAATGTTCGACATATGCAAATATAACAGCCAAAGGTTGTGGAGCACAACGTTTCAGGTCACATGTTTGTGTAGTCCCATATATCCATTTCCGTGTACAGTGCACGTAACTCTGAGCAAGACTGAGCAAATTTTCTAAAAGTCATTTTTGTATCATGGGCGTAGATCTGTAATTGATACCTATTGTTCAGGGGGATGATCTATTCATTCATCCCCCTGAACAATAGGTATTACGTAAGGATTGACGCCCATGTTTTGTATGATTCTCAAACCCCACAGTACACATATTGAATGTGGTACAGGATCAACGTTTCCAATCGCTTCAACAAAGTTTCAACATTTTAAGATGGCTGAATAAATTATTAACATTCAATCAATTTATTATTATCATCAATTATTTAAGACATGATGTGATGCTCTTACCGAATTTTCTTGCGAGATATCTCTCGATGGCATGGCTCTGTGGGATTGGTGGAAATGGTGTAGCAGTGCCTTTTACGATCAGCACAGGTAACTGACCAAGAGGGGCTCCTGCAGTAAAAAAAAAAAAAAAAAAAAAAAAAAAAAAAAAAAAAAAAAAAAAATTATTTGGAGAAGAAAGTTGACAAAAACAATGTCAAATTCAACAAATATAAAGACACAGTATTAACTAAAGAGAAAAATAGTCTGTATTCGACATAATATCAATCTATTATATTAGATATATTATTTCATTTTTTGTTTACATAGTGAACTATTACATTGTTATATAATTTATTATATACCTAAATCCAGCCATCTGATTGGTCGAAATTGCAGTCGTGGTTTTAGCCATTCCCGTTAATAAACGAAAAATGCCAAACCCATGTAATAGTTTTAAAGTAAATCAGTAAAATCCCGGCAAAATTCCAGTTACCGGGAAAATAGTTCAGTCTTGTTGAAATACCCATTGGTTCATGTGTTAAAATATGCTCTGAGCGAGCGCGGATACCATACATTGAAATGGCAATATCCCCCTGTGCAATACCTTGTGTGTCCTTCTCGTGTAAAATTGTCTCAAATTATTAAAACCTTACCCTGTATTTGCCCTGTATTTGAACAAATAGACGGTCGTGATCCATCACGCATGACAAACAACGCGAAAAATGGACCATTGTCCCTGAGTACACATAGCATACCCCAATAAACAAAATCACGTGAAAATCACGTCAATATCAAGGTATCGACTTGAGGAGAGTTACGTTCTTCAAACACCGGACATTTACGTAAATGTGTTAATACGTTTATTGCACTAGGTCACTTAAAACACACGTACACTAAATCACGCAATTGTCACTGCAATATCACCATTATAATAACGTGATTATTCCTACCTTGGAGACCATGGTTTGGAAACCTAATACTCCCGTGTTTTTTTTGGTTATGAAATTACATCTTCATAAACGAAATTATCGCGTCACAAAAACACGTGAAGCGTTGGTGATTGTTTTAGTCAAAATATCTGCGTGAAATTCACGTAAATATTACGTCGAAGAGGAAATATATTACTGTAACCCGCGTTCAACCCGATAATTACGCAAATGTTACACAATAAATAAACCAAAATAATGACGTTCTCATCCCGTTTCTGAACATCGTGTTTTGGATCTTCCATAATTACGTCCAGGCGCGCTGGAAGCAGTTTGGGATTAGAGGGGTGGGGGGGGGGGGGGGGGGTGGTTGCAAACATCCCAGAGGAGAAAGCTAGTTGCAACTGGTCCAGTTGATGAACCAGTTAATGCCAACTGGTAACCCCGGAAATTGAAATGGGCTAAATGATCCAGTTGATCCAGACCAGTTAGAATTCAACTGGTCTAGCTGAGCCATTAGAACAATTTGGTAAAACTTCCAACCAGTTGAACGGCAACAACACTTCAATACTGGTACGTCTGTATTTCCAATGTAAAGGCATTGGTAATAAGTAGACTTACATAATTAATTAATCGAAATTTTTTCATATACTTGTATTTTATTGAAATTATTTTAGTTCTAGTTAATGTTTTCCTTATTCATGTTTAATTAAATGTAATTTATACGAAGTAGCGAAATGTCTAATAACTGGTAATTTATATTTGTAGTATTTTCGAAATGAATTGCATATAACTAAATCATCAGTAATTAAGAAATATGCTTTAAATTCAGATAAACTGTTTAAAAAACACAGATCTGCACGCACCCCATATTCAATATGCAAATTAATTTGTGTCAGCTGGTTCAACTGGAAACATGCCAACAGTCAGCCAGCAGTCATTAACTGGTGCAACTGGAAATATGCACACAGACCGGTTATCAACTGGTGCAATGAAAAGATGCCAACAGTCAGTTATCAACTGGTGAAAATTGAAATATGCCAACAGACACGGGATTATCACCACGGAACTTAAATGGTAACTGTGAAACCATCAAGACACCCAAGAATAACTCATTTTTCACACCTGGAAATCATGGAATACCCAGCTTAGATTAATAATCCGTTTGAGTCACGAGATTATCACCGCGGAACTGCTGGCAACTTTGACTACCATTTACATAGGTGTTTTAAGACACCTAATAATTACTAATTTTTCACACCTAAATATCACGAACTCACAGCTTAGATTAGTAATCAGTTTAGCTACGTGATCATCACCAATAAAGTTATGGTAACTTTGAAACCAATTAAAAAGGTGTTTTAAGACACCTAATAATTACTAATTTTTCACACCTAAAAGTCACTTATGCCCAGCTTAGATTAATAATCCGTTTGAGTCACGAGATCATCACCGCGGAACTGCTGGCAACTTTGACTACCATTTAAATAGGTGTTTTAAGACACCTAATAATTACTAATTTTTCACACCTAAATATCACGGATTCACTCAGTTTTAGCTACGTGATCATAACCAAGAAAGTTATGGTAACTTTGAAACCAGTTAAAGAAGTGTGTAAGACACCTCAGAATTACTAATTTAATATAACCAGAGATTCAGGGACAGAACAATGAGACGATTAGCCGGTGTAAGTAACGTGATTATTACCATCAACCTTGGATAACCTGTGAAACCAATCGATTAAGGTGCTTACAAGACCAAATAATTACTTATTTATCACCACCATCGGTTAACGGACAAAAAACTCGTTGCTTGGTCAAGTGGTTATTTGGTCATAAACACGTGATTTACAGAGGTAAGGGGAATCACGTTACTCCAGTCGCGTGATAAATTGGTGGTTTTTAGGTTAGATGAAAACGTGAACAGGAATACCTTTTTTGTTTAAATGAAAGCACGTGTCGATAACGTTTAAATTTAGTTCAAAAGGCACCATACTTTAAAATCACTTAAAATACACTCCCAAAAGAGGTTACTTTTTAGTGTTTTGTTTATTGGGACGCCATCACTCTGGTTATTCAAAGAACACGTAGGCATGACTGGCAGAAAATATGATTGACATAGCAAATTATCTATGTGTGTGTCTGTGGTTGGGAGGGGGGGGGGGTCTTAAAGGCCCACTGTACTACTTGTAGCTACTTGCTCCCTCTATATAGAAAACAATGCCTAATCGGTGACCATTGGTCCCCCATGATCCGCTTTGTCTTATGTTATATGAGAGCTGAGTTGATGAGATAGCCACCTGTCAGTGACCTTCCTGGCTGGTCTAATCCCTCCTAGCCAAACTAGTACAAACGGCCTTTAAGAAGAGCGAGTGACTACACGGGGGGGGGGGGGCAGAAAATGCCCCCACTATGGAGAAAATATGAAAAGGGGCTTATTCGGGACCATGGGAGAGCTGCCGGGACTCCTGCGGGGAAAAACAGATACTATTTCGGGAAAAACTTTTCTATCCTACCCCCTTCCGCCTAAATGATTTTAAGAAACATCCGATTTTAACGAGCATCTTAAAATAATTATCTTATGCATATAGCCCTTGGTGATGTATTTTGCATCATTTATAAATGTTATTTGTAATGTTTTGATTTACATAGGTGATTTGGAATCATTATTATTTCAATTACTCCTAACATGCATGTCCTTTTATATCACCCATTACGTACCGCATTCCCGCCCGAATATGAGATGGTAAATAATGGAGTGCCCCGCCCTCGTCCCGCCCCCTTCCAGCCTTTCCTACCGTCTACACAAACTTTTACCTTCGGAAATGCCAAGTCGGAACAAAATGTCAGCTTGTAACTGCAGATAGGAGTGAAGGTTACGTATCATCAATTTATACAGATTCAAGTATTATGCCAATGGACATTAAATGAGTCGCACTTCCTAATATGAAACAGTGAACCTGTGATGTCAATATACATAATCAGGCCTAAAAATGAAGTTTATTACCCCTGCAAGCCCAAATTTGTGGTTGCTAGGTCGACTCTAAATTCTTGGACCGAATGGGTATTGGACTAATTGGTTTAGACCACTTAATATTTGACAAAATAGCAGTTGGACCAAATGGAAAAGGACCAACATACATGAGACCAAATGGCAAAACATATTGATCGAACGAAGTGGCCATTAGTCCAAATGGTTCTACAGACAGATGGCTATCGATTTGACAGGTCATTAGACGTGGTGATTATACGAAATGTTGATTACTATACCGTGTAGACTAAAGTCACTAAACTACATTAGACGTACTGACTATTGGGCCAAGTAAGATTCGACCAAATGACAATACCCCCCTGTGCAACACCTAGTAAAAACACTGTGTCGTTCTCTTTCTCAAATTATTAAATCCTTGCCCCTGTATTTTGTCCTGTATTTGAACAAATAGACGGTCGTGATCCATCACGCTTGACAAACTAAAGATCTCTTTGGACAAACACTGCGAAAAATGGACCATTGTCCCCGAGTACACATACCATACGCCATCACTCTGGTATGACGTAGACATGACAAGCAGAAAATATGATTCCCATAGCAAATTATACATGTGTGTGTGTGTATGTGTGCGTGTGTGCGTGTGATGGAGGGGGGCAGGGAAGGACAAGATTGTTCCAGTAAAATTACCTCCAGATTTGTTTAAGTTTTTTAAAATTTTATATAAGTGAATAACATTTACAATTGACATATTATGTTTAGGTACTTATACGTTTACTTTGTTGCTAAGTTATACTGCAAATAAGTTTGTGTTTAATTATTTTTATGTAAAAGCATCAATATTGAACACGTTTATTTTATTCAATTGTATGTTATAAAACAAAATTGTTTTAAAAAAAAGTGTGTGTGGGGGGGGGGGGGGTGAGAGAGAGTGAGTGAATACACGAAGGGGGCAGAAAATGCCCCCGCTGTTGAGAAAATATGAAAAGGGGCGTATTTCGGGACCATGGGAGGGCTGCCGGGCCTCCTGCGGGAAAACAGATACTATTTCGGGGAAATCTCTTCTATCCTACCACCTTCCACCCCAATGATTTTAAGGATTTTAAGAAGAAGAGAAGTTCTCCGATCCCGCAGGAAATTAAAAGGTTCTGGGATTGGCATCGATGAGTCGCTGACCTCTGTCCATCAAGACCTGCTTTTTGCTACCAAGAAACATGAAAGAGTCAAAGAGGCTGGGCCTCTGATGGCCGGATCATAGCACTGCTCGCCACAAAAGGGAACAGAACAATCAAAAGACAAATACGATCAAAAGATGAACTTTCAACGCTTTAACTGAGCTCTTTAATAGAGTTGAATGTATGAAAATATAGTTGCGTACTTCAATTGCACCCCTGTATGTAAAATCATTTTTACACATTTTAACCTTATTCCTGTTTACCTTACTTTATTTTGTATACGTATATAGTTAACTTATGGTAGTTTGTGACGACTCCCTTTTCCCTTTTAGTAACCTATCCGACTTAGAATTTGACTGTTTATTCCAAGATTCGCAAAATGAGTTTGATAATAGTAACATAAACAACATGTATGGTACGAATATGAACCCGACCGAAGAGGATAATTTATCAGATATTGACCCTGATGTTAACTGCCCTGTACTTGATGATCCGAATAAATACTGGCTACCAGCTGACTTCAATTCTGAAATGCACTTTGATAATGATTCCTGTAGTTTACTCCATTTTAACACAAGAAGCCTAAACAAGATTTTTGATAATAAACATGATTTTATTACAGAACATAAACATACAAATTTTTCAATAAATGGATTCAGTGAAACATGGATACACCTATTGACACCAAAAGAATTATTTCATTTAGAAAATTATATTTTTTTCATCGTGACAGAACAAAGAGTAGAGGTGGTAGAGTGGCCATTTTAATTCATGATTCATTGAATGTAAAAGAAAGGGCGGACATAACTTTGGCGCATAATTTATGTGAGTCTCTCTTTCTAGAAATTGAAATATGTAATCGAAAAAATGTAATTGTCGGAATAATTTATCGTGATCCTAGTTCAAATATAGCTGATTTTAATGATGATATAAATACGTGCCTTGATAAAATGTTAAATGAAAAGAAGGACATATATATTATGGGTGACTGGTATATAAACTTACTTAACACCTCATCAATTGCAAATGTTAATGACTTCGTTAATATTATGTATAATCATTCTTTTCGACCCTTAATTAACAGACCGACGAGAATAACACAAGGCTCAACAACTCTTATTGACAATATATTTACAAATGTCTGTGAAAAAAAATTTTCCTCTGGAATATTATATAATGATACAACTGACCATTTTACCTATATTTTATATTACCCGTAATACAAGGTCCTATCCTAAAGCTGATTATAATATGAATTTTACTGAAAGATGTTTTAGCCAAGAAAATATTGATAGTTTTAATAAAGAGTTACTCTCATTTGATTGGATTGATATATTATCAGTACACAATATTGACGATGCATATAATAATTTCCTTGAAGTATTCAAACTGATGTTTAATGGTAACTGTAAAATGGTAAAGAAGAAAAAGACAAGGTCATCAGCTAAAAAATCTTGGGTAACTCAAGGATTGTTAAAATGTATTAATAGAAAGAATCGTCTACATAAATTATTTTGCCAAAAACGTATTAAATCCATTGAAATTAAATATAAGAAATATCGAAACAAATTAAATGAAATCCTAAGAACGGCTCGTAAAAAGTATTATTGTGACTTGTTGACCAAGAATAAGCACAATCTTAGAAAAGTTTGGCAAATTATAAATGATTTATTGTGTAAGAAAAATAAAAACAACTTTCCATTATATTTTATGAAAAATAATGTAAAAGTGTATAAAAATGAAGATGTAGTTAATGAATTTAACAATTTCTTTTCAAACATTGCTGCAAATACCTTAAACAAAATTCATCATAATTCTAGAAAACAATTTAGACACTACCCTAAGAATCCAAGTCAAACATCAATGTATTTTTTTTATCCAACTAATGAATTAGAAATCATCGAAATTGTTAAAGAAATAAAAATAAGTTATAGCACTGGCTTTGATGATATCAGTACTTTTGTTGTAAGAAAAGTAATCCATTCAATATTAACCCCTGTAGTCCATATTTTTAATTTATCTTTATGTTCAGGAGGAGTACCTAATAATCTGAAAATTGGAAAGATCATTCCTATATTTTAAAAAGGCGATAAACACCTATTTTCCAATCATCGACCAATTACATTATTACCATGTTTTTCAAAAATCCTGGAAAAAATTGTTCATAAAAGACTCATTTCTTATTTGGATAGAAATAAAATATTAAATAATTGTCAGTATGGCTTCAGGGCGAGACATTCCTGTGAACATGCACTAATTGATTTAAATAACACTCTTTTAACTAATATCAATAACAATTATCACTCATTGGGTATATTTTTAGACTTGTCAAAAGCCTTCGACCACACAGACCATAACATACTTTTATATGCAGAGGAGCAGTATTGGAATGGTTTCAGAGCTACTTACTTGATCGACGTAACTATACTTCATTTAATAATTATAATTCCCAATACTCGACAGCCCAGTATGGGGTCCCTCAATGCTCCATACTGGGCCCGCTCCTCTTCCTAATTTATATTACTGATTTATGTACAGCATGTTCATTTTTTTTTTATTATGTCTTATTTGCAGACGATACAACTATTATTTCAACCCATAGCAACTTTATGTTTTTGTTAGAAAAAACCAATAATGAATTATGTAAAATAGCCGATTGGTTCGATGCTAACAAATTGATTGTTAATTATGAGAAAACTAATGTTATGTATTTTCGAAAACCTCATGTATCACAAAATTGTTTAGAGTTTCATGTAAAAATGAACGATGTTACTTTAAATTTGGTTAACTCTGTCAAATTCCTAGGATTTATAGTTGATGATATTCTGTCATTTAAGGAACACCGTTTCTATATAAGTAATAAGATGTCAAAGAACATAGGTATATTATCTAAATCACGTAGTACCCTTACTGAAAAGCACCTATTTATGCTTTATAATTCTTTATTACTTCCCTATATTTATTATGGTAATATTACTTCGGCAAGTTGTGGCACTACTAAATTAAACCCTATACACAGACTACAAAAAAGGCCTTACGCATATGTTCGAACTCCCCTTACTTAGCTCCGTCAAGCCCAATATTTGCAAGGTTAAACACTTTGACAATTGTTGATATTCATAAAATCCAAATTGCGATCCTGATGTATTACGTGAAACATAGCACCTCTGAATATAATGAATTTATTTCAGTATAATAAAGATTACCATCAGTATAATACCCGTTCCCACTCTAAATTCCATTATCCATTAGCACTCAATCAGTCAACTCTTAATGCATTTAAATCTATTGGTCCTCGAATATGGAATTCCCTCCCTTCTGATATAACCTCTAGCAGTAATGTTACTTCCTTTAAAACCAAACTCAAACGTTCAATAATAATTACCTATGTCAATTAAACATGTAATTTCATTTTTCCTCCCTACGTTTTCTTACTTTTCCTTTTCCTATCTCCCTTTGCCTGTATGTTTAGTGTTTAATGTTTTTTTAGTTTTTTTTTTATTAAGTTTGTTTTCTATCTCATGTTTATTGTATGTATATTTGTTTATGTATTGGGCACCTCATTAATCAAGCCTTGGTTTTTAGAGGCGCCCTGACCATTTATACTGTTTATACTTTATTAATAATTTTCATACATGCATGATTTGTATATTGATTTTTTTAAATTTTAAATGGTTTAATAAAACGAATTGAATTGAATTGAATATCCATATTTAACGAGTATCTTGAAATATATGCCTAAAGCCCTTGGTGATGCACTTTACATCATTTATAAATGTTATTTGTAATGTTTTGCTGATCATCAATACATATTCTTATTGGTATTTATTTTCCATATCGCAATATTAAAAACAATATAGAAAATGCATTTATATAGTAAAATCAATAGTATAGTGAATGGCTGGAAAACCCATTCAGCTTTGTATAATGGACATTTATATTTGCTTTAAAGGGAATTAAATGAGTTGCACTTCCAAATATGATACAGTGAACCTGTATACAAAGACCGCTGAAGGGAGTCAAGGAAATAGTCTTTACAGGCAGGATGATCTTTCTGTAAAGGTTTCAATAAGAAATCTCTTTGATATTGATACAACGTTCAAGAGAACGAAAAAGTAGTCTTTATAAAGAGGTTGGTCTATCTACACAGGTGACCCCCGGAGATGAGCACAGAAACAGGTTTGAATGCACTTACTTGTGACGTCACCCTTCACGGCTTTGAACTCGTCTTGAGTCAGACGAGTATCTTTGAACTCGACCCCAGCTTGGGCGAAGAGAAGACGGGAAATCTCGCCACCACCACGGGCGGTGAAATAGATAAGCTCATACGTAGGCTGCGTAGGCATGATGAGGGACTAGATGATGTCGTATAGGTGCGGAGCGTTGAGAGGACCTTGCTACCTTGACGGCTGGCTGAAGCGGGAGTGAAAAGAGTCCGGTGTGCGTGTATGCTCTAGCTGACTTGTTTGCATTTACGTTGTTAGAGATTGGGGGCTGTGGCTCTACCGTGTGAGTCAACAAAAAGTTTACACCTAGAAAATTGCTATTTATTTAAAAAATCATCTGTGATTAGTAAATTATTATACATCTTATGAAAGAGTGCAAAAATCGACTTGCGCCAAAGTGATGCCTACGGCATGTATTATGTTGGGATTAGCGGAGTGAGAGAAGGAAATGAATGTATCAAATGAAATGCAATTCATATGCTTTTTGCAGAAGCAAATTCACACACACACGCGCACATATGTTCGTTGATATTTGATATTCGATATTTGATATGTGTGGCATGATTAATTTTGTTAGGGATGTTCTTTGAATCTGCAAAGGCCGAATTAATACCCCAATCTCAATTGTTTTATTAAAATATCACATCAGCAACTTTGGCGCAAGTCGATTTTTGCGCTCTCGCAAACAATGCCTCCTGTTCATCCAAGCGTGAACACATACCACACAAAAATGATACCAAATGATTTGGGATAAAACACTCTTTCATAAGATATAATAATTTACTGTCCATAGATGATTTCTTTTTAAATAATTAGCAATTTTCTAGGTGTAAACTTTTTTTGACGCACACTGTAGAGCTCGAGCTTTTCCTTTTGTTAAATCTAGACGGGAAACAGGTGAGGTATGGGGAAAGAGCGAGCAAAGAGAAGATAGAGAGAGAGAGAGAGAGAGATAGAGAGAGAGGATGGGGATAGGGGGAAGAGCGAGAGAGAGACACACACACATACACACATAGAGATACATAGGAAGAGAGACGGAGAGATAAGAGAAGGTGGGGAGAAAAGGAAAAGAAAGAGGATAGAGAAAGTAGCATGTTATCACGCTGATCGAGTAGAATATTCAGGCGCGAGTATGGTTTCTAAGCTACCGTTGAATATAAAAAAGATAGATTAAATACATTCTTAATAATATAATTCGAATAAGTACTATAATTTAGCGCTTGAAGGGGCTAGGGAAACAAAAGACAACTACTTGCGCCCTTTTTAAAGCCCCCCTCCCCCATGTTCTCTCTCTCTCTCTCTGTTCTTTCCTTTTCTTGCTCTTCTCTCTCTATCTATTCTTCCCCTTTCTTACTCTCCTCTCTCTCTCTCTCTCTCCCTTTCTCTGTTCTTTCCCCTTTTTACTCTCTCTCTCTCTCTCTCTCTGTTCTTTCATTTTCTTACTCTCCTCTCTCTCTCTGTTCTTTCCCTTTCTTACTCTCCTCTCTCTCTCTCTCTCTCTCTCTCTCTTCCTTGCTCCACCCCATTTCTTTCGTTCTGGAAACATTCTCTATTTTCACGTGTGGCTGAGAGAAATATATGTTCAATTTTCATATCATTTTTATGCAATGTCATCGTTCCATGTCATCTCTCCTATGAGTCAATTGAAATACAAACTTGAAAGCATGACGAAGCAAAACGTGAAGAATGGACTTTACCCTACATGCAAACACTACTCTCATGAAAGCGGCCTTTATGGCTCTGCACACGACCGTGTACAGTATACTACAAATACAAACCTGAAAGCATCGCGAAGCAATTTTACAGTTTACTACAACTTTAATTATAATCATACTTTTTCCATGCGTTATCTTATCGTCGAGAATTGTTTGTCCAAAATCATCCGAAGGCGTATAGCCGTTGCGTCATAATTTGGGCAATGATGTTTCCAAATAACCTCATACTATTCAACTAACGAGTTGATCAGATAATAATAATGATAGGTCCATTTATATAGCGCAGCTACTATATTAATATACTCTACTGGCCAGAGTTTGATGTTGTTTTTTTTAGGGGGGGGGGGGGGAATACATGTAATCGATCGAGGTCAAAAAAGGGGTCTTAAAAAGTTCAACCGATCTTGGAAATTTTTTGGGGGCACGTGCCCCCTCCCACATGTTCTTTCTCTCTCTCTCTTTCTTTGTTCTTTCCCTTTCTTACTCTCCTTCTCTCTCTCTCTCTCTCTCTCTCTCTCTCCCTTTCTCTGTTCTTTCCCTTTCTTTCTCTTCTCTCTCTCTCTCTCTCTCTCTCTCTCTCTCTATTCTTCCCCTTTCTTACTCTCCTCTCTCTCTCTCTCTCCCTCTCTCTCTGTTCTTTCCCCTTTTTTACTCCCCCCTCTCTCTCTCTCTCTGTTCTTTCATTTTCTTACTCTCCTCCCGTCTCTCTCTCTCTCTCTGTTCTTTCCCTCTCTTACTCTCTTTCTCTCTCTCCCTCTCTCTCTGTTCTTTCCCCTTTTTTACTCCCTGTTACGTGAGGTTTCCTCTACCCGTTGTCCCTGGGTCCTTTGTTCCACAACAACAGATTACACAACACAAAGTGGTTAGATTTCAAGGGCTGATCTTCATTATTGAGCTTCGTTCTTCAACTCCAAATACTAGACTAACTCGTCCTGAGGACGGTCCGTACAATGTATCTAGATTCGGTAGATACACCCATCACACTCCCCCTCATAAATTAGCACTCATACCAGTAGGAGAAGTGCTATAAAAACATTTCTTTTTCAATGTTGTTTCAGCAACTGCTGTAAGAATACAAAAACCTGAAAGTATTTATAAGTATGAGGTCTTTGTAGATTTAGAAATCTGATAAACAAGTCAGCTTGTAAAACTATACAGTACCAGCATGCAAATGGTATCACAGCGTTGTCTAGTGGTTTCCGTTCATACAATAAAATTGAGTATGAACAGCTACATGTATAAGTAAAAACATAAACCATTCTTTTATCATCCTGCTCTATCATCTTCATCGCTGACTTTTGCATATATCAGAAGTCATTTGTACTTAACATAAAACAAAATACAATTCAAATCGCAGAGAAGTTCACCTTAAATGACCTATCAATATTAATATGTCTTCATGCTTCTTCGCAAGTTTGAATCTAAACATATTTCTTTGCATAAAAATAATACTAAACAAACTCCAGCAACATTAAACCTGTCTGAAAGATAATATAATATAGCCTTCACGTCAGTTGTAAAAACATGTTACTATTAATCTGAAATTTTGCATTGTAGTGTAAAACCATATCTGTGTTGGTCGAGTATTGAATATTTTCAAGAATAACTTTGATTACTTTATATCCATAACCAAAAATATGGTAAGCCACCAAAATACTTTTTGTTCCAAAGTTCCTTCTTTTAATATATTTATCCTGCTTTGGATAAAACATATAAATCAATTTACTGTTTCTATTTTCATATATAAACATGCACAGACAAAATGATGACTCACTAGGCTTTCTAGTTTCTTGTGTTTGTACCAAAAGAGTTTTAACACAATAATATTATCATGCATGTTCAAATTCGTCAACGAATACGATAAGCATATCACATACATATATACACTGGTTTACAGACATCTGGAAAGCAAACATAAGAAAAATACATTTTTCTGTGAGTCCAATAAACAGTTTCAATGAGTCCAATCAGTCTATGTTCACAATGCTTTGTGATTATTAAAGAAACCATCAAAGTTAAAAGTTCTGGTTCCCTTTCTCACATAGTATTCCAATGAATTCACCAAAGTTCAACTGTTCAAGTATGATGCTTCACTGTAAGTGTTCAACTGTTCACGAAATATGGTTCAAACAAGGGTTGCTCACTTTTGTCCATTATCACACACGAGATAAAGCGTCCGCAATAACATTGTCCTTTCCTGGCACATGTAGAATGTCCAAGTTGTATTCTTGGAGCAGCAAACTCCATCGCGTCAGTCTTTGGTTCTTGTTTTTCATTCTGTTGAGGAATGTCAGGGGGTTATGATCAGTTAGTACCCTGACTGGATGTTGAGATCCACTGACATAAACGTCAAAATGTTCAAGTGCAAGTATCAAAGCCAATGTTTCTTTTTCGACAGTAGAATAGTTCTTCTGACTTGCACTGAATTTCTTTGAGAAGAATGATATGGGTCTGTCGATACCTTCAGCGTCTGCTTGAGTAAGAACTGCACCAGCACCCACATCACTCGCGTCCACCATCATGCTGAACGGCTGGTTGAAATCCGGAGCCATCAGTACCGGATTGGTAGATAAGAGGGCTTTCGCCTGGTTGAAAGCACTCTCGCAGTCGTCAGACCATACAAACGTCACCTGTTTGCGCAGCAGATTGGTTAGGGGAGTTACAACATCGGAGAAGTTATGGCAGAATCTTCTATAATAGCCTGCCATGCCCAGGAACCGCATCAATTCCTTCCGGTTGGTTGGAATCGGGAAAGCCAGGATGGAATCGACCTTCGCCGAGATTGGCCGTACATGACCCGAACCAACAACATGCCCAAGGAAAAGGACAGTTGCCCCTGCAAACTCGCTCTTTGCCAAGTTGACTGTCATTTTAGCAATGGACAACCTTTCAAACAACTCTCTGATTCTCTGTACGTGCTCATCCCACTCTTCACTATACACGATTATGTCATCTATGTATGCTTCGCAACCTGCCATATTCGCTACAAGATTATTCACAAGTCTTTGGAATGTCGCAGGCGCATTTTTCATGCCAAAAGGCATCACTGTGTATTGGAAAAGGCCTTGCGGAGTAGAAAACGCAGAGATCTCTTGTGCTCTTTTTGTCAAAGGGATTTGCCAGTATCCCTTTAAGAGATCAAATTTGCTCACATACTTTGCTTTGCCTATACGGTCTATGCAATCATCTATTCGCGGAATCGGAAAAGAATCTGTCTTCGTGCACGCGTTTACTTTTCTGTAATCCGTACAGAAACGATTAGATTTATCCGGTTTTGGAACGAGGATGCAAGGAGAAGACCATGCACTACTACTTGGCTCGACAATGCCGTTCTGTAGCATGTATTCGATTTCCTTTTCAAGATTTTTCAGTTTTGTCGGGTTTGCACGATATGGTGCCTGTTTGATTGGGGTTGTATCTCCCACATCAACATCATGCTCAACAACATCAGTTCGAGAGGGAACATCAGCAAATAACTGTGGATATTCACTC